CATTTTAATGGTGATCTGTCGCATAAATATGTGAAAACTGTACACGAAAAGGTTGTACAGCTTAGTAAACAGACAGACGACCGAGACTGCTAACATTCCCGACAGAGGGCAGCACAGTATGGCTTGGCTTGAGTGCTATTAAATTGATTTTTGTTTCCCGGCGATTTCTTTCACTGTCATATCGTGTGTTATACTTGTCTGTTAATAATAGACATAACCCTGTTGATAACATTATCCCTGAAAACACCTCTGCTCTCTTAATTCACTAAATACAGTACAAATGCACTATTGCATTCAAAGAAAACGGTAGTTTCAAAGTTTTCTATGAAGATAAATGACTGTACGGAGGTTTTAATCACCAGAGATGGGCAAGCCCTGAAAATTTTTATTTTATCCGAGGCCCTCGTCCCTCAAGTGGATTAGGAAGCCGGCAGCTTGTTAAAGATCCCCTGTTTGTTCCTAAAGGTTTTTTTCAATTGGAATTTGAACTAATGTCTTGGCATCTTGGCTGATGAGATCATCACGGAACTCGTTCAAAAATATGTGCCGAAAAGGTAAAAGACAAGAAAGGGAACTAGATGGATGACACAGGTTGTAAAACGAGCATTGGTGACCAAGAGGAACATGTGGAGAACGTGTAAATCCACAATGAACGTCACTGATTATGAGTTATACAAATGACACTAAACTTGGCCACTCAGAAAATCAGATCAGCCAAAAGAAACCGAACGTAAAATTGCCCAAAACAAAAAAAGAACCAAATCGTTCTATGCATATATATATAAGATGTAAAACCAAAACAAAGGACACAGTTGGACCCATAATAGATCAGACTAACCAAACTATAATGGATGATAAAAGGGCAGCAAACACTCTAAATGATAATTTGACATCAGTGTTCTCATTCGGAAGGTTGGAATACATCCCATCACCCACACAAATGTTTGAAGGAGGGAAGGAGAATGACTTTAGGGACATACCCATGACATGCGAAATAATTAGAAAGAACATTGACAAACTAAAACACTCAAAAGCCCCAGGTGTGGATGGAATCCTGTCCAGTCTGGAACTGGCAGAAGAACTATGCCTATCTGTGAAACAACTTTTCACGAAATCTCTAGATCAATGGGTAGTATCTCTAGCTTGGAATATGCAAATGTTACCCCTATTTTCAAAAAAAGGTAGAAAGAGCTCAGCAGAAAACGGCCAATCAGCTTGACATCACACATCTGCAAGCTCAAAGAGAAAATACTCAGGGAGGTAATCATTCACCAACTTTCAATGAACAATATTGTATAATCAACAAAACATGGATGTGTTAAAAACAGATCCTGCCTTACAAATTTGCTCACATTTTTGGAAAAAGTAACGAGCTACTCAGACAAAGTCCTTCCGGTGGAGAGTGTACATGGATTTTGCCAAGGCTTTTGATAAGGTTCCACGTGAAAGACTAGCAAGGAAATTACAGGCCCATGGAATAAATGGTAAAATATTTGAATGGATAAAACAATGGTTGAAGGAAATAAAACAAAGTGCCGTGCTAAATGGAAACGAATCGGAATGGAAAAATGTGATAAGTGGGGTGCCACAAGGGTCCGTTTTGGGACCCACATTTTTTGTCATATACATCAGTCACATATAGACGAGAATGTTACAAATCACATCATCAAATTTGCAGATGACACAAAGATTTATGGTAAAGTGGGAAATGATAACGATATTGAAACCTTACAAAGAGATCTACATGAACTCCACAAATGGTCAGAAGACTGGCAAATGCTTTTTAATATCGACAAATGCAAGACCATGAATGTGGGCCATAACAACCCACGTCACGATTACCAAATTAATAGCATTTATATTACAACAGATTGATGAAGAAAGGGACCTTGGAGTCAAGACCCACCACTCATTAAAAGTTGCACAACAGGTGGGTGCAGCAGTCAGAAAAGCTAATCAAACTTTTTGGATAATCAAGTTTTCTTTTGACAATAAGGAAAAGGTTCAACTGTATAAATCTTTGGTTCGCCCCACTTAGATTACTGTATCTAAGCATGGAGACTTCTCATTTGTAGAAGGACGTAGCTGCTCTGGAGAAGGTGCAACACCGGGCAACAAAATATATTCCAGAGCTAAGTCATCTCTCGTATGAGGAACGGTTGAGGGCCACAGGGCTAACAACACTGCAAACCAGGCATGGCAGGGCGAATCTCATTGAAACTTTTAAAATATTGAATAAGTTAAAGGATGTTGATCTGGATATTTTCTTTAGAAGGTCAGATATAACACAAGCAAGAACAACGGTTTCAAGCTCAACAAGCCACAATGTTTCAAGATCAAACAAGCCAACTGAGAATAGGAGATGATTTTTCACCCACAGGGTTATTAATCCACGGAACTGCCTATCCGCCGATGCAGTAACTGCCAAAAGTGTGCTGCATTTCATAATATACCTGGAAAAGATCATAAATAAAATAAAAGATAAAATAAAATGTTTATTCAGGTAAGTATGTAAGTACATACATACAGGATGAGTTACAAACAGAATGTTGGATTTCTAGATAGAGCTAGTACATACTGTGCCTAAAGCCACTAATACGTACAGCGTTTAGGGCAATCATCAAGGCAAATGGGAGGGATCTTCGACAAGCGCTGGCTTCCTGTCCTCGTCGAGTAAGTAAGTAATTATCAAAAGAAGGCACCAAACCGGGACGGCTATGTAGCACCATCAAATGTGCGGAATAATCAGAGGGCGCTAAATATCACCAAGGATGCTAATACGAGAACAAAAACGCATAAGGCGAACGATATCAAAAGTATCCGAGTCACCAAGAATTCTATTGAGGGACAGGTGACCGCGAGGGGCGGTCGGAGTCCTCGTCGAGGCCACTAGGGTTAATGGCCCTCAGGTAAATCACGTAAATTTACGGCTTCGGAGGACAGGCAATTCCACATGTTTATTATCCAATGGGTGAAAAAAAATCTTTTTTGCCCTTTTGATTTGTTTTTGTTTAAAAAAAAATTTGTTTTTTTCATTTTGGCTTGTTGAGTGTGAAGCTGTTGCCTCTTGTGTTATATGGGACATTTGACAGAAGTAGTCTGGGTTAATACTCCGATATCTAATAGGTATTTTATAGGTTTCTATGCGATCATCCCTGTCCAACCGTAATAAGTCAATATTGACTTTACGAATTTGCGAGAACGGGTTGCCCTGTCATGCCTGGTTAGCAGTGTTGTTAGTGCTGTGGCCCTTAACCTTTCCTGGTTTAAAAGTCAACTTAGTTCTGGGATGATTTGCCACTCTACGTTGTACTTTTAGATTAAATTAGATTAGAATTTTTATTCAGGTAAAGGTACATACATTGAGTTACATACATAATGATGGATTTAAAGATAGAGATAAAGGCAACATGAAAAGCACTTGGAAAACTATCTCTAGTATCCTAGGAACTAAACAACACTCACATAACCAAATAAAACTCTACAAGGATGGGGATATACCGTCAACTGATTTAGAAATGGCAAATGAATTTAATAGTTTCTTTTCATCGGTTGGTGCTAATCTTGCCAGTAAAATCCCACAGACTCAGACACATATTAACACATATCTCTCAGGCAGCTATCCAAACTCTCTTCTCCTTTCACCAATCAGCCCGGCAGATGTTGTGTCCATCATACACTCTCTAAAAACCAAGGCAGGGAACACCAGTGAAATTCCGTCCATTGTGTACAAGAGAGCCTCCCATGCCCTTGCCCCACCCATAGCACTATTGTTCAACAAATCTATAGAGTGTCACACCTTCCCTGATATCCTCAAAAAAGCAAGAGTAACGCCAGTCCATAAAGGAGGCAATCCGGCGGACATAAACAATTATAGACCAATATAAAATCTACCCATTCTATAAAAAATATTTGAAAAAATTATTTACAAACAGCTCTATTCCTACCTCGTAAAATTCGACATACTCAGCCCCTGCCAGTTTGGCTTCCGGTCCCAAAAGAGCACCAACAATGCAATCATTAGTCTCCTTGACGTTATCTACTCAGTCCTTGACAAAAATGAGTTTCCGATTGGACTCTTCAGTGACCTAAGAAAAGCCTTTGATACTGTTAATCACAACTACCTCTTACTTAAACTCCAGCATTATGGAATCCGAGGCCTTGCCCTTGACTACATCCGATCCTATCTTAGTGACAGACACCAATATGTAACCATCAATGATACAACTTCTTCCACTCTACCAATTACCGTTGGAGTGCCACAGGGCAGCATCTTAGGACCTCTTCTATTTCTTATATATATAAACGATCTGCCTAATGTCTCTAATATTCTCAAACCTATATTGTTTGCTGACGATACTACCCTTATCTATTCAAACCTCAACCCACATACACTAAATAATGTTGTGAATAATGAATTAAAAAAAGTCCACTTATGGATGTCAACGAACAAACTAACATTAAACATCGAAAAGACTTGCTACATCTTATTTGGAAGCAAATCATCAAATGCAATTCAGCTACAGATAGACAACATTAACATCAGTAATAAAAATGATGGCAAGTTTCTTGGCCTATTCCTAGACAAGAGACTCAACTTCAGCAGCCACATTCATCACATAACTAAGAAAGTCTCTAAGACAGTTGGTATACTCTCCAAAATCAGATATTATGTTCCTAACTCTGCTCTCCTCTCACTATATTATGCACTAATCTACCCCTATCTTAATTATGGTATCTGTGCATGGGGGTCTACCACTGCAAACCACCTTAAGCCCATCATCACACAGCAAAAATCTGCTATCAGAATAATAACTAACTCTGCTTTCAGACAACACTCAGCTCCCTTGTTTAAATCCCTAAACTTGCTAAATATTAACTCCCTCCACACATTCTCTTGTGTCAACTACATTTACAAAACCCTGTTCTTAAATGCAAACCATGCTCTGAAACTCTCCCTGGACAGATGTAATAGGACCCATTATCACCACACCAGAAATAAATCTCTCTTTGATATCCCCAGGGTCAAACTTAATCTGTGTAAACACTATGCAAATTAAGGGACCTAGTCTATGGAACTCACTCCCTAGTGAATTGAAAAACTGTAAAACTTTTGCCTTATTTAAAAGCAAAACCAAAAAGTACCTAACTTCATCTTCTTAGTTTCCTACACTGAGCTTTAAATTTGCTCTGTACCTAGTGTTACCCAATCTCCTAATTTTTATGTAATATCAAACAACCTTATCATTGTGTTCATTGCTGTCTTCTTTTATGTGCTAGCCATATGCTGTATTGTGACTACCAATTTTTGTCAACTACCATTCAAGCTGTCATTGCAATCAATCTTATATTGTTTCTGCTGTATTGTGCCTACAAATTTTTGTCAACTACCATTTAAGCTGTCATTGCAATCAATCTTAGCTACCTATGTGCTTTAATATACTGTACCTACAATTTTCTCTCATCTTTTTTTTCATTTCATGTAACTGTTATCATTTTTTTGTCTATAAATTTTGCAAGTATTTACCTCCTTAAAATTTTCTTAGATTAATAAGGACCTGCCCGAAACGCTGCGCGTGCTAGTGGCTTTACAAGACTGTAATTACCATATTTGTATCCTCACATTCCTTATGTACATTCTTGTATATGCATAAATAAATAAATAAATAAATAAATAAATAAGATAGTACATACAATACCTAGTCACTATTACGCATAGCGTTTCGGGCATTACTTTCTCCTAGGGCAGGTGTGTCCTGAAGATGAGATCTCCATGTTTTAGGTACAGTAATCCAAATGTGAGAGTACCAGAGATTTGTGCAGTTGAATATCCACTTTCTTTTTCTTGAAATCAAAGGTTCGTTTGACTATTTCCAGGGTTTGGTTGACTTTTTTTTTTTTTTTAACTGCAGCTCCCACTTGTGCAACTTTCAAACATCTCACAAGCTTACTTCTCGTTTAGTGTTAACACCATTACACCAAAACACTCTACATGTATATTGTGATGGGTCAGTAGCTAGGGATGGGAAGGCAGGGTGTGGAGTCTTGATCAGGGAGTAAGCTGACAAGTGGGCCAGATTCATCAAGCAGTTACGCAACTACTTACGAACGTGTACATCTTTCCCCAATCTTTGACGGCTTTGGTTACATTTATTAAACAGTCTACAAGCATGAAAACGTCCCAATCAACTGTTGTTATTGTTATAAACAGCCTCCTGGTGCTTCGGAGCTCATTAACTGTTTAATAATTATAAACAAAGCCGCCAAAGATTGAGAAAAGATGTACAGGCTCGTAAGTGCTTGCGTAACTGCTTCGTGAATCTGGCCCAGTTGGACGCCGCTTAACTGACAATGTCTCTTCAACGCAGGCTGAACTCCAAGGTGTATTAGCAGGATTACAGGAAGTAGTCAAATGTGGTAAAAATGCCTACTTCATTATTAACAGTAGAGGAGCATTAGAGTCTTTAAAAAGCAGATGCCCAGTTTACCAGAATATTGTGATAGAGTGTAGAGAGAATGTTAAGAAATTAGAAAAAACTGGGTATAAAGTAAGATTCATGTGGATCCCTTCACATGTGGGAATACTGTTGAATGAGGTAGTCGATGAGATAGAGAAGAGAGCCACGGAAAAAACTCTTGATGATGTTGTATATCAGTTAACCTTGAAGCAAATAAAAACAAGAATGAAGATGATCCAAGAGGGTGAAGAAATGGTAAAGAGAATGGCAATGGTGGACAGTAGTAACACACTTAAGAATTATTCAATAATAAATACAAACTCGTCCTTCACTTATGGTAAAGGAAAGTCTACTTGGAAGGATTCAATTTACATGAGATTAAGATTAGGATACAAATATATCTGGCAATACGGTGTTGATGTCAGGGAAAAAGATAAGGAGTGTAAATTATGTAGTATGCCGCACGCCCACACCTTAGAACATTATGTATTAGAGTGTCAACATATTGATAACTATAGAAACAAGGAAATAAGTAGTGTACCACATCAAATTGTTTGGATGTGTGATAATGGTATGATAGACAGTATACTTAGGAGCTACAAGAATTTTGCCCCAAGAGTGTAACACTTATATGTGGTGCTTACTATATTAACCTGCAATATTTAATGGGATTCTTGTACATACTGTGATTTGTGTATTTGTACTCACTGAATTTGTGCGCCCCTTGAGGGACTGAAGTAAGAGGGGGGTTGAAATAGCCTAAGCTACTCTATCCTTTTGAGATGTATCCCTTTCTTGTCTCAATAAACATACTTGAACTTGATGATGTACTACTCTACTCTCCAGCCCATCACTCAGATTACCGCATAATCTACTTACAGATTATAGTCAGCGAGTAGTGTGACAACTTGCATGCTACGAGCTCTCAGAGGACCATTGCACCCTGATGCTGACAGCTTAATTTCTAATTAATCCTGAATTTACAAAGTTATTAAGTCTAGTACTTTTAATAACATTGTCATTTTTGAGTTCATTCAATAGTAATTTATTAAAGAGTACAGGTAGTTTATTGATTCTTTCTATTAAACTGTACTTCTGGCTCCTAGTTTTAGCCATTCATCAAAAGTTCCATTTTGGGTCAAAGACTAAACAGCGTAGTGTTATTCCAGCATCCCACAACTATGCTCTTTGATTTTAATAATTTTATTTGATCTTCATTTAAAAAAAAAATATTCTGGAGATATTGTGAAAATAAAGAGACATGTTTAACAGTTTTAATACAAACAATGTGAGAATTTATTTTAGAGGTTTGTAACAGGTATAGCATAGAAAGTATATAGAGGTTTGTGGCAAGCTGCCCCCACCTGGATTATTGCATTCAGGCATGGAGACCTCATCGTCAGAAAGATATAGCTGCTCTGGAGGAGGTGCACCAAAATCATCCCAGAGTTTAGTCATCTCTCGTATCAAGAAAGGTTGAGAGCCACAGGGCTAACAACACCGCAGGTCAGGCATGACAGGGCAGATCTCATATAAACCTTCAAAATACTAAACAATTTTGAGGATGTCAATCCAGACAGTTTCTTTAAAAGGTCAAATGTACCATGAACGAGGAGCAACAGGTTCAAACTCAAAAAGCCACAATATAGGACAGAAAACAGGAGATACTTTTTTACCCATAGGGTTGTAAACCTGTGGAACTGCCTTCCTGCCAAAGCCATAAATGCCGAAACTGCTGGGTTTGAAAATACAGCTAGAAAAGATCATCAGGACAAATGGGGAAATCTTTGATAAGCCGCCAGCTTCCTGTCCTCGTCGAGGCTACTAGTATTAGTGGCCCTCAGGTAAATTCAGGTAAATATTATGTCGGTAATATACTTGCTCCATATTCTCATTAGCTTATGTGCAGATAATGCGATGGGTCTGTTAAATCTTAGTCCACTAATTACAATTAATATCTCTTCCCAAACCTGCTAGAGGGGTGTCAGGTGAGATGTGGACTGGTAATATAACCAGTCGATAGCAAATCATCATTAAATCGACAGCCCCGCTCCTGTGCCAGGTAAGACCACTACCGGCTCACCATAGCCCGTGCTACTTGGAGCTTTTTGTTCCGAGTAGCTGAATCTAAAAACGACAAATCATCATCAGGCTAACTCCAAGAGTGGTTCAGTACAGGCATTTGAGAGATACCACACATCTTCAATATTCACCAACAATAATGTAATACTCGGCATGTTCAGTTCCTACCCTCACAAGATCCTTCAGGCTCGACACAGACCAGGTAGGCAGACTCCAACCACCTTCAGCTTTCTTGCTACATACTATATTATTACACAACAATGGAGGTTAATTTGGGATGAAGCAGCTTTTGAAGAACTTCATCCAGTATTTTATTTTTAAGAACTGTTGAAACCTTCAGTTGTAATTTGGTGTAGGAAGATTTATCTCTGTTAACACAACAGTATTTTTAGTATCCATCTTGCAATAATCTTTAATCTGCAACCAATTCACATAGACAAAAATTTAGCCCAAGATTAAATTTACACACATTAACAATGGATACTTTTCCACAACATATATACCTGCAACCTCAGTAACAATAGGTCACAGATTCAAGGAAACAAAGGTGAAAAAAAAAAAAAAAAAACCTTCTGCAAGTAGAGTGTAGATGGATGGAACAAGTTAACCAAGGTAGTGGAGGAGGCCAAAACTGTCAGTAGTCCCAAAGCATTATATGACAGTGCTGGGAAGACAGGACAACGGAGTGTAGTTCTCATCCTGTAACTATACCCAGGTAATTATGTTTGTAACCAGTAAGCCGAATGTAAAGTGAAAATGTTTGCAATTTTTTTAAAGTTGTTGTGCAGTAATTTGAAAAATATTAACCCCCATAATACATTTAAGCCCCTACAACCCCGTCCAACTTATTTTATTTTATTACTTTCCTCTATTTCACATAGCCTTACATGGCTGCATTTATTTTATAGGGCCCAGATAGGCAAAAGTCGTAAAGAAGACTGGTTCTGTCATTTGTAATGCAATCATAATAGCAAAGTAATTTAAAAATAGAAAGTTAATAAATCACATAATATATATACAAAAGTATATTTTTTAAATATATTTCAATTTAATATCAATAAAAATCACATTCATGAATGATTATAAGGGCATAAGTAGATCGGCAATAACCACTCATTTTGTAATGTAAACATTTTCTTACAATGATCATCATAAGTACATTACCGCACAGTACACACACACACTCGTGTGAACATTACCACATGGTACACACACACGCGTGTACATTACCGTATGGTACACACGCGTGTACATTACCGTATGGTACACAAGCATGTGTACATTACCGCACAATACACACGCACATGTACATTACCGCACAGTACACACGCACGTGTACATTACCGCACAGTACACACGCACGTGTACATTACTGTACGGTACACACGCACATGTACATTACCGCACAATACACATGCACGTGTACATTACCGTACAGTACACACTATAATACTATGTACATGGTTTACTTTCTTCCGTTGAGAGAAGTTAGTAAGCTTTGGATGTTTGTAACTTTCAAAATCCCTGCAACATAGGTAGGTAGCCTTTTGTATCATCTTATAACTTTACCTTTGGTTTCATGTCAAGACATTCAGATAAGTACGAGAGAAACACTTCTTAAGTTTAATGTAGCACATCTACACGTTACAAGAGGAAGAAACTTGTATTTAAATAGATATAATTTGATTTGATAACCACTTTTAACATATTATAGTAGTTCATATATATAATTTAGACATTCAGATTCAAGTTATATACAAAGTACCTAGTCTCAGTATGTATAATTATAGATATGAACATGAATCATTTGCACTTTCATACAGAATATTCCTGACGTAAAGTATTTGGAATGCTTGAAATGGGATTTGTGTGTATTGTATCACAAACATTTAATGTTAGTAAATATGAATTATTATTTCTCAATAAAATAATTAACAGGGCATTAAACAAAACTCACAGGTATAAAAGACAACACACACGATCAATACACGTACCCTCGTCACTGTGGAACGCAATAAATGAAAAATCTCCGTTAACCTTCAACTGTGTGAACACGAAACTTTAATATTGAGGAAGATGTATAAGCTTGAGAAAACACCGAGGCTAAGTGACGAGATAAAACTTGCATCCAAACACAAGAGTTCAATCCCATTGCGTGGCCTCAATATTTTAGCATAGGTACATTACATTCTAATTATTTTGTTGGACTGTATGAGCTTGTGATAGAAAGCATAGTGTCTAAAAGGTTGACAATGGGCGATATAATAATTATAAAAGTACAGTACTATGCACATATATATAAACTGATGGCCCTATTCAAGTTAGGGGGGAGGGGGCAGGGGGAAAGGGTTCAAATTAAAGGCTGGTAAAAATAAGGTAGTCAGTATTTAATACTGTTATTACCTTTAGTAATGAAACCATAAAGAAGTCTGTTCAAATATTTTTTGTTTCAAGATTCTGTATTATTCTCGCAATAAAATTACATAATACTAACTTTTTCATAGGATAAATAATTTAGAATCTATATGCAAGCATATGGACAAGTACACACAAAAAAACTTGTTTTGCCTGCACTTGGATTAAAAGAAAGGTACTGTACAAGAAATCTAGTCGGCAAGGCAACATAAGAATGTCAAAAGTAAAAAAAAAAATTATTTCAGGTTGTCTGAAATTCAAAGTCAAACTTAAGTTCTCATATTTGAAGTGACAGATTGGAGAAGATACAATAAACATCAACCAGAGTAACTAATCACATATTATAGAAATACTGTACTGTAAAGAGGAATTTATGAGAAAACAAAAGCAAGTCTATTTTGACAGATAGGTCTATGGGCTATACTAATATAAGCAAATACACTACAATATGAGGATTTGAAGAGCAGAATAGTAAGGAGTTAATATATATGGATTCTGCAGGATGAATATGAGATGTATACAATAATGAAACGAGTGCTAAGATGACCAGTGTGTGTAATTACCAAAATTTAGTAACAGGATGTGTATGTAAGAGAACTAATCATAACAGTTGACACTTATGTCTCCTTTATCATTACAGTGTTTACATGTAATTATAGAATTAAATTACATGTTATAAATATGAGGTACAGAAAATTAAATATAAAGAGTAAACAGATTTTTCAAGAATATATGTTTAAGTATATATATATATATATACAGTATACAGTGGATATATACATGTTTTGTACATAATATTATACTACCTAAAATGTTTATACAGAAATTGAGTATGTCTTAAGCAGTGAAATCAGAGCTTAATTTACGGGCTATTCATGCCCGTGCCACCTCTTGGGTGGCTTAATCTTTAAAAAGAGCCAAGATGTGTGGTACAAGGTCAAGCCACAGGATCTTCAACAGGAAACAAGGCAAGAAGCAAGAGAGAGACCACAGAAGACGGGACTACAGGAGGGTTAAGGATTATCTGTAGGAAGTTCAGTAGGAAAGTGAAATGGAAGGAAAGTCAGCAAATAAGATGATGAAATTCGTAACACAAAGAAGCAATGAACAGTTCTTACCTCTAAGAAAGGAAGTGGACGAAAGGAACACAATAAACCCATGGTTCAGCAGACAATTCAAAGAGGAAAACAAAAAAAAAAAAGGCATGGAAAAAAGTACAAGGATACGGTGGCAAATAGAGACACTAAAGAAGGCAAGGAATGAGTATACAAGAATAAGGAGGGCAGCAGAGTAGCAGCAGTTTGAGGAAGACATTTGTGGCAAAAGTATATAGGAAAACGATACGAGACTACATGATTAGACTGCAGGGACAGGAACACATGAACAAAATCAACACTAGACAGAATTGAAGTTAATGTAGAAGAGATTAAGAGCAATACCTGGAGGAACTGGATGTAACAAAAGCAATAGGACCAGACCAGATATCATCACAGTTCCTGAAGGAAACTTCAGGTATCTTGCATTACCCATTAACTATAGTGTTCAACATCACACTTGAGATGGGAGAGCTCTGGAAAAAGGGAAATGTTCCAATATTCAAGAAGGGAGACAGTCACACAGCACTAAACCATAGACCGGTGTCATTAACATGCATTCTATGTAAAGATTCTAGTAGCCATCAGAAAAAACAACATGGGTACAAAATGGCTTTAGAGGGAAACCATACTTAACAAATGATTGAATTCTATGACAGGGTCACCAAAATAAAACAAGAGAAGGAAGGATGGGATAGACTACATCTTCATAGACTGCCAAAATAACTTTTGATATAGTTTCTTGCCAGAAACTAATACACAAGATGGAGAGACAACCAGGAATAATAGGAAAGGCACTGGACTGGGTACTCAACAGATAAAAAACAATTGGTCAGAGAGGATATATCAGGCTGAAGAGGAGTGGAATGTGGTGTTCCTCAGGACTCTGTTCTAGGACCATTCCTCTTTTTATTTTATGTAAATGGCCTAGCAGATGGACTGAGCTCATATATTAATGTTCACAGGTGATGCAAAATTAATGAAGAGAGTAAGGACTGAAGAGTAATAACCGAGAGTAAGAAGTCCATACCGTGCAAAACCATTACTCGAGTATGCAGCACCAGCATCGAACCCACACCTTGTGAAGCATAAACAGAATCCTGAGAAAGTTTAGAAGTTTGCAACTAGATTAGTATCAGAATTGTGAGGCCTCTGCTATGAGGACAGGATGAGAACTTACCCCTCACAACCTTAAAGGAGAAAAGAAAGAGGTGATATGTTAACTACATATATCAAACTTTTGAGGGGAATAGACAAAGTGGACAAAAGAAGCCTGTATAAATTAAAGAAGTAGAATAAGGGACATCAGTGAAAGATGAACATGCAGTCGAGTCAGAGAGATTCAAGGAAGTCCTTGTTCCCAGTATGAGTAAGTGAGCAAGTAGAATCGACTGAAGGAAGATATTGTTGAAGCTAATTCCCTTCACAACTTCAAGAAAATAGATGATCAATATGTTAATGTTGAGAGTTGATTAGTGTGTCAAGTATAAACGGCACAGAGGTAAGGCTCCTCTGTAGTCACTGGTAGGTTAACCAAGCACTACACTGTAGTTCTCTGGGGAAACTATTAGACCACTTATTATACCCTGTTGTGCACATATACAAGGTACTCTACAGCTAAAGCAAGCACCAATTATTTACCACTTTTTATCCAAAGATATCTGCTTGCTGCACAAATGTGATCATTGTGCCCTTGAATTTAATATGGCTCTTAGGGCAATATTTTCTGGTTTTAATATCAGAGAAGAGTAGTTAGAGTACATATGTTAGTAAATAAATTTTCACATCATATAAGAAGTTTGGAGCAAGTATAAAACATTTATATGAATTACTACTACTATCACCTCACACACATTATTTAACACGGGTGGTGCTTGCTCAAGGGGGCACATGTAGCTACTGAGTACTCAAATGAGCTACAGACAAATTATTTCCTAATAATTTCAGAAAATTATTAGAAAATTTTATAGTAGTTAAATGGAATGCATTAGGAAGTGATGTGTTGGAGGCTGACTCCATACACAGTTTCAAATGTAGATATGATAGTGCCCAATAGGCTCAGGACCCTGTACACCAGTTTTGTGACAGTCGAGAGACAAGACCAAAGAGCCGAAGCGTGACCCCCACAAGTACAATTACACGCACACATTTGTGCTTGTGTGTAATCATCCTGAAACTTCACTTCACTCACTCTTGCTGAAAGCTGATTAAAGAACAGGTACAGCCACTAGTGTGCTGCCAACTGGATGTGCTACATTGACTGCATAATGTAAATACATCATTTTGCTGAAAATTCAACAGATGGTTAGGAATGAAGACATAAAATACATTTTATCTTTGGTTGTTTGAAATTTAGAGATAAAAAGAAGCTATATTTGACTTCTTCTCATCTAAGGACAACTTTGACATGAACACCACAATTTAGCAACAAAATTGAGCAAGTTTCACCGGATATCTTATTTTTCTTAATTAAGTATTAGTAGTAAAACAAATAAGAAAAATTACATCCAACTCTTTGTCAGGACTTGTGACCTTGAACACTTTCAGTAGTGTTTTCAAACTGGAAAAACATTGCAAAAAAATGTTTTAATATATAACACTTAGCAGAAATGTCTCTGTTGGCCAAGTTGTAGTTCTTGGATAAGACCTTAAGCAGCAAAACCCAACAGCTTCACTGACTGACTAATTGGCATGTCGTTGATCTCCTTTTATTTTACTGTACAGTACGTTATTAGAATTAAGCTTTAGAATAAATATAATCAATTTATCTCTTGTGATGATCCAGTATACACAGCTCCACTGTTGTATAAATGTAAATGTTGCAGACTGAACATTAGTGTTAGAACTCTAACTTTTTAGCGTGCAGCCTGACACACTTGTTGATGTAACCTGTACACCTGTTGATTGATGGTCGAGAGGCGGGACCAAAGAGCCAGAGCTCAACCCCCCACAAGCACAATTAGGTGAGTACTTGTCAATACTGGTGGTTGCAGCCATCAGCCACAGCTCCTCACTCTTTTCATGGGTCGAGTTGCGAGCAACTAGAGCCAAAGTGATTGCTTTAGGGCATTTTTAGATTGCAATAGTGCTTCAATAAGCTGAGCACCCTGAATATGCCTATATGTTGAGATTGCTGAAATTGTGTTTTACGTGTATATTAGCTGATGCATACCTGGAGTGGATTCAGCGAGTTCTTCTATTCCCAAAGTGCGGCCTGGAACCAGGCTTGACTTGTGATAACTTGGTTCAACAGGCTGTTACTTGTAATAGACCGAAGACCCACGTATCCACTATAACCCGGTTGGTCCGATACTTCTGGTAGGAACGTGTCTAATGTTCTCTAACATTTTCACTTTTGTACCTGTAATATTTCTTATGTTGGCTGAGAGGATACTGAACGATGTTAATTAAAGAAAATGAAATAACTTTTGTGCTAGTATTATATCCTCCTTGAAAATATTTTTGAATTTGGAGACAAAGTAGACTTTTGCATATTGAACTTGGGCGACTGCGGAGATGTCAGAATAATACGGCTAATGGAAATATTTTGCTGATTCTGAGGACTTTCTGTGGCTTCAGAAATGCTAATTATTGTTGGTCTGATATCAGGATGATACTGAGGAAGCCCAAGAGCACCAGAAAACATCACTTGTCCCATTGATAATCTATGGTCATCCATTGGAGATGTCCTGACAGTTTTCAAATTTAGAAGACTTTGTGAATTCTGAAGACCTGATGCAGATGGAAGCATATGACGAATTTCCATGCTATTTTCATCACATACAGGTATTCTAGAACTTTTTAAATTATGAGCACTCTTTCCTGGTAGAACCGAGCTATACGAAGATGCTTGATGCACAACATTTTGTGCGTATTCCATTTCTTGGATAACTTGCATTGCCAAAGAGTTAGAGCTTATCCTATTTTGATGCAGATTTTCTGATAATGGAATCCTTGGATGAAGGTTTTCTGGTGAACAAACAACACTTGACACAGCACTAAGAATACTTATCTGTGGCAACTGCTTATTGCCCTCTGGAGTGCTAGTTTTTGGTCCTCCAGTTAATGCTGTCACCTTGCTTGGGTTCACAGCCACAGGTGCTTTTCTTACAATAGCTGTCTTAGTGTTATCAGGCGTGCTTGTCTTTGGTGTTCCCTTTGTTAGTTTGTGATCAGCTGGCGTTGTAATACATGGTGTTCTTTGAACTGTTGATTTTGTTGCATCACACTCTACTTTAGAATTTGGTTTAAATTCTGTAGGAGTTTCGGTGTTAATTTTAATTGCTGGAGTTGTTGGGGTGACATTCTTTGATTTAAAAGGACTTTTGAGACGGGGAGTATCTTTGTTTTCATCTTTCTTTGGTGTAATTACATGAACTCGAGGTCTTCTAAATACTTTCATGCCTGCTTGCAAGGCCTTTGCAGTACGATCTTGCAGAGAATTTCTTCTCTGAGCCGACTGTCTTTGTTTTAGTGGAGATTTTAATGGTGTCCAGTTAGGATGTTCAAATCTCTCACGTAGCATAGAAAATTTGCGTCGAGGATGGAAACATGCTCCAGAGGTCACGGGAGTCATTCCTGGATCTCTCCGATTTACAGAGACTGCACCAGGTTTTATTGTGTTACTTGATTGTTTCTCTTCTTCCATTTTTCTTTCTTCTTCTATTAATTCACTTACTTCCAATAATGTTTTACTATCTGGAACAGAAACTGTGCGAATCATTTCTCGAGAGGTATCTCGTGTGCTTCGTCTAGAAGCAAGAGAACCTACAGAGTTATTCCTTCTCATTCTCTCACTATAATATCGGAAAGAAAGATCAGACATAGTAGAGTAGTAAAGATTGCATAGACTCTCCTGTGCACGAACATCTCCAATAGTAACAACAAGAGACGACTTGCTATTCGTAGAAGTCATAACAGAGGAAACGTTGTCATTCTCAGGTTTTTCTACATCTCCTACCCATATTGTTTCATAGTTTGGGATATTATCAACAGAATTTGATTTGTTTATAGGTCTGTTGGCTCTTAGTTGATTAAGGGCATCCATAAGCCTCTGATCATCTTTAACTTCAGGTGGAATATTTTCATCTTCCATCTCCTCTTCTGGTTCTTCAAGACAAGTTTCTAATCTGAGTGCACTAAGATCAGGCAATGATCTGGATAACATTGACTCGCAATCATCAGTAATACTAATTGATCTACGATTTTGAATGCCCTTCTGCATGCTGTATTCTGAAAGAAAACTTGACGTCAAAGTACTGTCTAGTATTTTCAGTCTATCTTTGTATGTACTGCCATCATGAATTCTATCTTTATCTTCAATGTCTGAATAGGTTTTCCAATGTCTAACTCCCCACATTTCCCTATTAATATTAATAGCACATATGTTTTCATAATCATGTGGCACAGATGACTGGGTTGTGCGAGTTTCATTCAAGTTCTCCATGACCAAATTTAAAGGTTTTGGAGGAAGATTTTGCCTGTGACCATTTTTTCTTTCATAAATATTTTCATAATCAGATTGATCTTCTGAACTCATCCCAGATGATTCTACCTCTATGATGTGCATCCGATCAATGACAGCTAATTCTACATTTGGTATGTGGGGTTTTGCGATTGAGGGATCTCGAGAACATTCATGATCAATGTTCTGAGACTTGGAGGTAACATTTATGGTACTTGTAGTGAAGTGAGGTAACGAGGTTAGTCTTAGATCTGTTTCCGAGACTGTGTAGCCTTTCTTTCTCACACTCGTTCGTAAAATACTTGTACTGTCGAGATGACTGCTGCTTCTTTGCAAGCTGCTCAAACCGGTTTGACTTGAACTTTTTAATTTATGGGGAAGACCAATACAATTAGGACTAGAAAGTCTAATTAAACTATGATATATTGAACCACAAGCTTTTTTTTGACTATCAACAGAAAGTGGAGCATCGTCTGACTTACTGACCACTTCTTGTTGGTTGAGGACATCCATTCTTGCCGTGTGATATTGACATTCGTCGGGTATTCCTACCTGACAATAATACTTCTGACTACTTTCTGTTTGAAATGGGTAAGTTTCACTTTGTCTGATCTGATTGCAGCACTGTTCAGTTGCTTTCATGTTAGTTATATTTTCATTTGTCCTTACCTCTAACGGGATCTCTTGAGTATTATCTACATCTTTAAATTCTGACGAGGAAAATCTGACGTTTAATTCTCTATTAACGGTTCTTTCAAGAGAACTGGGACTCGACTCTTGCTTTTCCTCTGTTGCCTCATCTTCACCATACCTGTTCACATTGTCACTCAGAACCTTATCTTCACTATCTTTACCATTTAGTGGTGCAACTATCTGGATATCACTACTGCACGACACATTAGCCAGAAGATCTTGCACCGAGCACATAACTCCTGATGGCCTCTGATGTTCTTGAAGATGTGAGCTGGAAACTGGAGTTGTCCCATTTGAAGCAGGTGAACTTTCCAAGCTGACTCCGGGTGCAGACAAAACACTGAAAGAAATGGGGAATATCAGAGCAATATTGGAGAATATCAAGTGCAGCCAAGAGACTGGTGGAAGGGTAAGCATGGAAGAATGTTATATGGTATATTAAAAATACTGTAGGTGGAGAGAAAATTTGAAAGTCTAATGGGTGGAAATGATGAGAGGGTGTTAATGTGAACACTTTAGGTATAACAATTTGAGAAAAGTGCAAAATATTATGCCTGGTGATATATTTATAGAAGAAGTGAATACATCAGAGGGGAAGCTGAAAGGTGATCTAATTGGAAGTATTGAAGAATATGAAAAAATATTATATTGTAGAGAAGGGACACTGGGGGAACCAACACCACAAGCCCAACAAGATCTTACAGTACTGGGTGAATCCTGCTTCCTTTGAACAGAAGCCACCAACAAAAGACAAGCTGCACCTTCAAGTTAAACCAGCCACATTATCTTTTGTGAACATGATGAACTTTAAAAATACAATCCATATGGACTTTATGTCTGTTTTCCACCGAGATCCAGACATGCAGTTTCTGGTACTCGAATCTGACCTTTGTCTCCTATCATTTCTTGAACCACCTTCATCTAATCACAAGAATGATGCACCAAGTCAGCAATTGTCTGCCAAATGTTTTCAATTCACTTTGTTTTACCCTGGGTCCTCTACATATTGCAGCTTTATCGGGTAAATCCACGTTGGTTTTGTTTTCACACAACTGTAAGTTTGCACTGTGGGAATATGGCTCAGGGAAGCAACTCAGGGGTCTAGCTCAGAAACGGAACATAGTCCAATGAAACCATTTTTTTAAGAGGCAACTTGACCGCTTCCATTCCTGCCCTTAATTTCTTGCCTTAATTAAATTTACTTACATAGACTACCTTCTACTGTCATATGGTGGTGGATTGTGTAAGGGATAGTTGCTAGTGATGTAGTTTCATAATGTTTCATAATATAATGTTTCATTTCATTTAGATAGGTAGTTTCTACCTATCTAAAAGGTTTCAATAATTGTTCAGAAGGGATGAAGAGTAAATTGATATGTTCTCTGGGGTCACATTCTTCCTGTGAAGGATTGAGTTATGCTCTTCACTATGGGCCTTGCCCCTGAACTATGACAAGACCATTCTAAAAAGTTACTTTTCTTGGAGGGGCTAAGTCACTTGGGCTTGATGTACTAGCAATGACTAAGAAGTGACCAAGGAGGGTGCTTTGCTCATAAAAATAAACATGCCAAAACCATAAGAAATCCCTATTTGACACTATTAAAATATACAAATAAACCTGAATATTATCAAAATGAAGAAGTTAAGAAACAACATGAATATGTTTAATATGTATTATACAGAAACCCATTAGTAAACACCCCTTGCAAACATGGACCAAGTCATGTATATATGCACAAGGTTCATATGCAACTGTCATACCTGTTCGAAGATTTTGACACAACTGGATACATGTATTTAAATTCTCTTCGCACTGATACTCTGCATGCTTCATGTCTAGTGTTGGCATTACAGTCTGGGGAGGGGCTCAACCGTTTTCCAGAAGAAAGTGTTCCCTTTTCAGCATCAATGGCTTCTTTAGATTCATTTTTAAATGGATTTAATGGGCCCATTGGATGGAAAAATCGATAGTACAGAACCATGCATGATAGACCTGAAAAAACAAAAGGGGGCAGGTGCATTACATGCATTGGCAACTGTATTTTGCTTTATAATAGCAAGAAAGTAACGGTATTTCAAAATTTATCAAGAATTAAAAATGATACTTAATAAAATTATAGTGTTGACCAACATCAGTGATAAACACTTATTTTCATGCTATTCAAAATTTGAATAGCATGAAAATAAATGATAATGTTAAGAATTAAAGAAACAAAAATTCCAGACATTTAAGATTAGATAACCAAGTATTATTTTGTGATGTGTAGAGAATGGACAGTCATAATCCACTTCCAAGAAAATATCATGCTTCAAGCAAATGTTTAAAGCTACCTAATAAGCATGACACTAAAATGCTACCCAAAACTTAGCTATCTCAATGTCCCATTGGCCAGGCTCATGATACAGTAGTCAGGGCAGGGAAGATCACCAGAGGGTCATATAAAGAACTCTGTGCGAGGATACGTTACACTTTCTAACTTCAAAATCGCATTTTAATACAGGAATGGTGAAATATTAATGAAATTGATCATGACTTTTGTGAGACCTGTGTAAACTGATGAAAACTAACCCAACTATAAATGTACTAAACATTTATGAATTACTGTACATTACTGAACTGAATTGAATAGAGCTTGTTGCTACAGACCTGGTGCTGGCTTGGGCTCTGGCCCAAGAATGTAATGTACAAGAATGTAAGAACTCTTGTATATACAGTGACACCTCGGCTTACGAATGCCCCTCTTTATGAACTTCTGGTTACGAGCCCAATTTCTTCAGAAAATTCAAATTGGGTTACGAACTTTGCCTCGGGAAACCAATTTGTCGATACGCGTATGGGCTGGCCTAGCATGTGGTGGAACGGTGATCCCGCCTCAGTTTACCAGTGCCTCCCGCCAAGTGACAATTGCGCCTGAATTCTTTGTAAAGAATTTCAGTGTTTTTCGGATTTTTAGGTATTTGAACATAAAAGTAATTATTATATATCTTGCCATGGGTCCCAAGAAAGTCAGTGGTAAGGTTCAACCTAAGAAAATAGTTGTGAGTAGAGGCAGTAGACGATGTCCCTTCCTCATTAAGAAAATGTGTGAAGTATGGGAAGAACTGCAAAGTTTTGTTGAAAAAACTCTCCCAGATAAAGCTGTAGCAGGCTGTCTGTCGCATTGACCTTTTAAATGACAATGTGATGTCTTACTGCAGCCAAGTGTTAAAATGTAGGAAAAAACAAGTGTCTAGAGAGATTCTTAGTAAGACAAGCAAGCAAGCAATGAGCCACAAGCAGGTTCTAGTGGTATGCAGGCAAAATGTGCCAGAGGGTGTACCCCGGAGAAGTCATCACTGCCTGATGTTATAATGGAAGGGAACTCTCCTTCCAAACAGTAACACCTCTCCTCCCCCCTCCTCACCATCTTCCATATGCCAACAAATCATCAGTAAAGGCAAGTAATAACTTGTACATACTTTTGTACTGAAGATTTGGGTGAATTAGGTATAAAATTTACTTTGAAGTTAATTTTTTGGGGAGTCTGGAACGGATTAATTAATTTTCCATTATTTCTTATGGGGAAATTCACTTCAGTTTACGAATTTTCGAGTTACGAGTCATCTCTGGGAACGGATTAAATTCATAAGCTGAGGTACTCCTGTATAAATAAATATAAATAAATAAATAAATAAATGGCTTGGCTGCTGCCATATGTAGATTATCAAAGGTAGTTGCTAATTGGGAAACTAGAAGTTGGGTCAGAGTGGTGCTCATATTCCTTGTCATGTTAAGTAGGGACTGGAAAGGCAAGTTAATTACAAGCAGAAAGCATCAAGTCCATATGACTATACAGTACAAAGAAGGGTTAGAAAGACAAATTGCTGGGATATGACAGAGTGAAGGACAGGACTTTTGAAAATCTTTGAATGTATGAGGGTGCCTTTATTGTTATCATTGGGCTGGATTGTCCTTTTTTTTTTTTATTCCCCCTCCCCCCCCCATCACTTCCCTAACACTTGCGTGACCCAGATAAGATTCCTGCTATGGCCCCATTGGCTAGTGTAGAACGTCACCCTGGCCTTTCATCAACTTGTCAATGAGACATTCGGTGAGCTTGCTTTAGAAACTATTTGAGTAACAAGTTAGAAACATTAATACTGATGCCTTACTTTCTCCTGGGAGCTCTCCATTAGGTGACCAAACATTCATGTTACACTATGCACCTTTTAATTAATAGCCAATAATCTTTAGTCAATACAATACATTTTGTTCATTAGAACAAAATCAACATAAAGGCTTTGCAACTCACCCACTGTCATACCACCGACGACTACAGCTAATGCTGTATACTTCAGCCACAGCTTGTGGGGAGCCATTAAGAAGTAGGTCAAGACAAAGGCAAGATTCTCAGCTGCAGTGATCGTGTAAAATGTCACCATCCTCCATCGTGAAGGGCCCTCCTGTGTGGTATTAAAATTGGTATAATAAAAACAAATGCTACTTATAATTTGAGTTGTGGCTTGATCAGTGGTCACTGAGGAATGAATCCAGAAACCTTAAGCCTGCTAAGCTAGATCTAACAATTCAAGCTGCAAAAAACTCTTAATACTAAATCTCTCTCTTTCTGTACACATTTTGAATAGTATGTACAATAAAACAAGCTTTTGAGATCAGATGAAATACTTCTTTCTCAGTAAGTCACCAGCTTGCTCCCCTTAACCTCCAACTGCTAACTGATTTCCTCCTGTGCTTAAAGTGCAATATGAGTGATCTTTATGGATTTTCAATATATTTTTTCCATGCACACCTGTATGTAGGACTTTTAAAAAGCATAGCAGTTTAAGGGTTATATAACACTGTATTCCATAATGGAGGTCTTTTCAGTAAGGAAAACAATAGAAAAGCTAACACAATCTAGCCTGAAATGGCCTCCAAGAAAGTTCATGTACAGTACTCTGAACTGAACCAGGCAATACTTAGCATTAAAGAGACTGCAAAGTGTTGTATCACTTTGGTAATTAGCAAGTTCTCTCTCTGTCCACTACCTCAATTTACCACTAGGCATCAGCCCCAGTTCTATCAACAGACCCACTTTCATCCTAGGCCCAGTCCTCGACCAGGCCTCCACCCCCAGGAAGCAGCCCGTGACAGCTGACTAACTCCCAGGTACCTATTTTACTGCTAGGTAACAGGGGCATAGGGTGAAAGAAACTCTGCTCATTGTTTCTCGCCGGCGCCTGGGATTGAACCCAGGACCACAAGATCACAAGTCCAGCGTGCTGTCCGCTCGGCCGACCGGCTCCCTTGGGGGCAGATTTTGGAAAATGTAGGCTGAAACCTAACACAGGAAGCACCCACCAATATATTATAACCAGCATATGGGAAACTTGAAACATGAAGAGCGTCTAAAATATTTAGACGCAAGGATTTATTAAAAACCATATACTGTACACAGCCTGTGTCAAATCGGGTATACCCACCATACAGGCATGGGAGCCTCATCTTGCAAAGTACAAAAAAGAAAACTATAAAGGTTCAGAAAATTGCTATAAAGCTAGTGCCTGAAAAAAAAAAAAAGAGAACCAAGCTATGAAGGCAGGCTAAGGAAGTTCAACTATCAACTCTACTCGAGAAAGGAACCAGACGAGACACGAGACATGATCACTATTTACAAAATAATGAGGGGAACAGATAAGGTAGAAAGGGATAGACTTTTCTAAATAAGAGGTAACAGCACAAGAACACATGGATGGTAGTTAGTTACAAAGATAAGCATAAGCACACAAAACTGCTGTACTAAAACATTGAGAAATGATTCCCACATGCACACGTGCGCTTATTTTTTAACTGCTTACCCTGAGATTAAAGAAGCAAAAGCAATAAGTAACTGCCATGATAAAGTTAAATATACTCTCTTCCCATTTCGTAGAGCTGAAGCCCGTCTTCTGGTTCACCACCCACACAAACATCGCTATGAGGTGCAAACCTGTACAAAACCAATGAAAATTTTAGTTATTTTCAGAGATGCATTACAGTATGAAACAAAACAAAATGAGTAAATTACTTTTAAGCCATGTACTGCACAAAAGATAATTAAAACCTAATTAACATTTAACTTTCAACAGTTTCTGAAGAAAATGATACAGTACTTCATAATTGTTTTCTTTTGGTAGGATCAATGGCTTTGGTGAGGAGGCAAACACATGAAATAGTTTAAAAGAATCTGGTTCTACATGACAAACATCACGTGTAATACACATTCTGTAGTTTTGACCTAATAAAGTGTAATAATTTTATAGTCACTTACCCATGATTAATAGAATCCAAGCTTCCAGTATGGTTGCTACCAAGGCCAGAGCGCTCACACGTGCAGAAAGCATCCCAACACGCCATAGTGTCTGTAGTACTAGTCCAGATAATGTCATCTTATGTTTGTCTAAACGGGTATTACGCATGGCTTTAGTATATGCCGCAATACCCCAGCCAACGGACAGCATGGATGTAAAGGCTGTGATACCTGAAGGATTGATGTATGGAAAAAATTATTTCTCTAAAATTAAATCTATTGTATATGTAAATTTTAAAGGCCAACTCCTTCAATCGAACCAGTTTTTTTATTTATTAGTTAATCGATGATATGCTGTAATTAATGTTGAAAATCCATTATAGGGTAGAGAGAATTTATAGTTTCATCATTTCCCATTTTAATTTATTTCCAAAAGAAAGTAAGTTTATATTTTTTATTGTGCTTGATGGAGTCAAGTGGCACTAAATTAAAATTATGATGGTTGCTACATCAAACTATGACCTTGAGGTTACCTTGAGGTTACCTTAAGGTTACCTTGAGGTGCTTCCGGGGCTTAGCGCCCCCACGGCCCGGTCGTCGACCAGGCCTCCTGGTTGCTGGACTGATCAACCAGGCTGTTGGACGCGGCTGCTCGCAGCCTGACGTATGAGTCACAGCCTGGTTGATCAGGTATCCTTTGGAGGTGCTTATCCGGTTCTCTCTTGAACACTGTGAAGGGTCGGCCAGTTATGCCCCTTATGTGTAGCGGAAGCGTGTTGAACAGTCTCGGGCCTCTGATGTTGATAGAGTTCTCTCTCAGAGTACCTGTTGCACCTCCGCTTTTCAACGGGGGTATTCTGCACATCCTGCCATGTCTTCTGGTCTCATGTGATGTTATTTCTGTGTGCAGGTTCTGACGCTTCGATACTTGGAAATTCATCACCACCTTCCAGCACAGTTGTTAAGATTTTATCTTTCTTGTGATCCTGGCACTTTAAGTCTACATTACATTACACTACATTACGTCAGGAGGCCTGGTTGACGACCGGGCCGCGGGGACGTTAAGTCCCGGAAGCGCCTCAAGGTAACCAAGGTACAAGGACAATGAATTATTATTATTATTCAAGTGGCATTTTTAGGTTAAGGGGGAGGGGGGGGGGGGGGTTACCATGTCAAGGGATTGGTCAGCCCCAATACTTATCACAGTTTAATGCAAGCTTCAGTAGTATCTAAACTCTGCTGCCAAACGGCCTGAAAAGCTGACAGATTCCAGAGTCGCAATCTTCAAAAGGCAAAATATATACTGTAGATGGATTCTTCTAGGAACAGTAGTGGGTATCATGTTTAAGATTTAGCTTTTTCATCAGACAATTTTCTATTTTCAGACACATTAGCATGTTATATGATCTAAGAAAAGCAAATTTGTCATCCTTTGGTTACACAATTCCAGAACAGAAACATTTATTAATTTATATTTCTTTATACAGTATATATATATACAGTATGTACTGTACAAAGTTCTTTCATTCTTGTAAAGTCACCAGTACGCATAGCATTTTGGGCAGGACCTTAATCCTAATTTTCCCCCAGAATACAACCCACCAAATCGTCTAACAACCAGGTACCCAATCACTGCTGGGTGAACAGAGGCTACAGATAAGGATTGGCACCCGTCAATCCTCCCCGGCCATGAGATGAATCCAGGCCAAAGCGCTTGCGAAGCGCCATACAAATGTTTTACCACTGAGATATGGGGACTGCATTGTGAAATCAGAAGCTGCTGCAAGTCAAATACAGCATCAATAGAGAGAAGGATGATATAAAAAGAAATGAATATATCTCCCATTCAAAAATGCACATATGTATAATACCAGTACAAAAATATAAACAACCTCTAATAGCAATACATTTAGAGAATAATTTTACAATGTAATACCTCACCTGTCCATATACTGTAATCGTTGTAAGACATCATAATATAGAGCTGCAAGATTAACTGAGGGGCGGACTCCATGAATGATTCAAACATGCGCAACATACACACATCACTTTGCTGGCGGTAGAGTTCATCAAAGTCGGTTCTAGCTAGAGTCTTGCGTGCCTTTAATCTTAATCCAGTCTTAAACATTATAATGTACCTATAAAAAAAGGACTCAATTATGATAAGAGTAAAGCTTAATAAAACATTCTTGACTTAAAGATATAGGCCTATACAATGTGCTTAACAAGTTTTCAGATACTGAACTGTACATATGTTGCTAAAGTTTCATGCTGATGGGTCTATTTAATTTACAGCCTATGTAATATAGTAAAACAAAGATGGTAAATTATAATAATATGAATGATATCAAGATACTCGTGAGAAACTTACCGATGCATTATGCCCCAGAGGCAGATGTGTGTCGCCCAATAACATTTGGTAACAGGATGCTCATCAACAATGTGCCACCGCATGGACAACACCATGACAATAATTGCTGGCACTAAAACTAAAGCCAGTGTCAGACTTGCCCATATTAATGACCCAGACAAGTAGTATCGTATAACCAAGTTCAGATCTGAAATCACAGAATTTAGTTTAGTCAAGAATGTATAAAATAAATTTGTAATGAAGTTTGAAATTATAAAAACCACATACCTGCATTAAAATACAATACTGCATTATTTATAATTTTATTTTGAAATTTTAAAATTTATAATTTAATGCATAATTTATGCATTACTTGTTGACCAAACCACACACTAGAAAGTGAAGGGACGACGACGTTTCGACTTGAGAATGGTCCAGGATAGACCGAAACGTCGTTGTCTCTCTCACTTTCTAGTGTGTGGTTTGGTCAACATATTTCAGCCACGTTATTGTGACTCCTCGTCTGTATATGCATCATTTTTATTGCATACAAATAATGCATGATCTGGAGTAAGTGTTTGAGTAAATCTATGCATACAGAGAAGAGGAAGCAGTGAAGTTAATGTGTGGCAGCACGGGGTAATCCTCTGATAGATAAGAACAGGGAAGTGTGCAAATAAAAGGCTTTTGTGCATACATGTGAGGAGCAATAAATGATGGCACAGTGCCTTAACACTAGATACTTGCAAGTAGAACACCTCCATATATTAATGGGATGTTAAAAAGGAATGAAAGCAAGTTTATTAGACACAAATATAGATTCATCAATAGCCAAAACAAATAAAATAAAAAATGAGAAATGGTCAAGAATGAAAGGTCAACGGGTGCTCTTGCAGAGAAGACATGGGCGGGGGATGTAACACCCGTTTAATACATAAATTTAGAAAACCTATGAAAAACTGAGAACCGATGGCAAAAAAATGGATAGATTATCTTTAAAGAAATTACAATAACAGACAGGTAGTATATATGCTTTTCAAACTAGAAAGTCTTGTGTAATATTATTTTACTCAGTTTATTCATGCTAGTTATTCAAATTAATACAAATTATAAAAGTACTGTAATCATAGTTTGTGCCTAAAAAACACCATTTCCTTTGACACCAAGTGCTACATCTCAACTGTCTAGGCCTATGATCAAAATATTGTTTATTTTACCTCCTACCTAGGTCTTAGAATGTATTTATACAGTACAGTACTGTACAGTATACTGTAGTACTGCACAGTGTTCTTAACTACCCAGTGGTACATGCTGATACCAATAAACTTGGCAATTGGAAACTGGGAATGTTTGTCAGCTTATCTCACTCACTCGCCTCCACAAAGCTCTATTTTTCTTTCTTTTTACACTTGCAAAATTTAGTGTTTCTGATCGTTAGAATAATACAAAAAAAAAATCCATTCACAAACACCACACAAGCTTCAAATACAGTATAGCACATTAAGTTTTAGATTATAAGTTACTGTGTACAGTATTAGAGCATATACATCAAATGGTTTCCCATAGACCACACACTGAACAATAATATTTCTGGTAAAACTAACACTTTGTGGTTATTTCTTGAAACACTCTGGCTCTACAGGTCATCTGGTGGTTAGGAAGACCCAAGTTGTCCCGTTACTGGAGTGTCACCAGTGTCACAGATGTTACTGGGGGAGTGTCACAACAAGTGTTACTGGGGGGTATCACAAGTGTTAGTGGGGGGGGGGTTATCACAAGTGTTACTGGGGGGGGGTTATCACAAGTGTTACTGGGGGGGGTTATCACAAGTGTTACTGGGGGGGGTTATCACAAGTGTTACTGGGGGGGGTTATCACAAGTGTTACGGGGGGGGGGGTTATCACAAGTGTTACTGGGGGGGGGGGGTTATCACAAGTGTTACTGGGGGGGGGGGGTTATCACAAGTGTTACTGGGAAAACTGGGGGGGGGGTTATCACAAGTGTTACTGGGGGGGGTTATCACAAGTGTTACTGGGGGGGGTTATCACAAGTGTTACTGGGGGGGGGGGGGTTATCACAAGTGTTACTGGGGGGGTTATCACAAGTGTTACTGGGGGGGGTTATCACAAGTGTTACTGGGGGGGTTATCACAAGTGTTACTGGGGGGTTATCACAAGTGTTAAGTGTTACTGGGGGGGTTATCACAAGTGTTACTGGGGGGGGGGGTTATCACAAGTGTTACTGGGGGGGGGGGGGGGGGTTATCACAAGTGTTACTGGGGGGGGGGGTTATCACAAGTGTTACTGGGGGGGGGGGGGTTATCACAAGTGTTACTGGGGGGGGGGTTATCACAAGTGTTACTGGGGGGGTTATCACAAGTGTTACTGGGGGGGGGTTATCACAAGTGTTACTGGGGGGGGGTTATTACAAGTGTTACTGGGGGAGGGGGGTTATCACAAGTGTTACTGGGGGGGGTTATCACAAGTGTTACAGGGGGGGGGTTATCACAAGTGTTACTGGGGGGGGGGTTATCACAAGTGTTACTGGGGGGGGGGGGTTATCACAAGTGTTACTGGGGGGGGGGGGGGTTATCACAAGTGTTACTGGGGGGGGGGGGTTATCACAAGTGTTACTGGGGGGGGGTTATCACAAGTGTTACTGGGGGGAGGGTATCAAGTGTTACTGGAGGGTTATCACAAGTGTTACTGGAGGGGGTTATCACAAGTGTTACTGGGGGGTTATCACAAGTGTTACTGGGGTGTATTATCCTATATATATATATAATTATGTCGTCCAGCCCCTTCCTTCCACACACCACTAGTGTGGTGTCACTCAAGTGTTGCTGTCACAGTCTCTGGCACTTAGTGTCACCTAAGTAACACTAGCAAGTGGTGTTACTGTAGTCACTGGAGTATCACAAGTGTTACTGGAGTGTCACAGGAGCCCACGAGTGCTGGCATAGCTGGAGGAACCAGTGGTGCGGGTGGCCCACACACACTCACCTGTACACACATCCACCGCGAAGGTTCCCATTGATATCACCATGAAGGTGGCGTCGAAGTCGGTAAATGAGGGCATCCTATCAGCTATTACTCTGCCATCAGTGCGAGGAGGAGGCTGTGTGGGCCTGTGGGGGCTGCGGTCCCCATCTAAACTGGGCGCCATAGCGACCGTTGCCGACCCATTCACACATGGATGGTAGGGGGGGGGGAGCAAGGTAAACAACGACTTCCCACGGCTGCCAACCCTAGGCTCCTTTTCATTTTCCTTGTATTTCGTATGCTCCCTCCTTTTGGCATTTTTTCATGAGTTATTTTATAGTTAGAATTTTAGTAATTAATTAGGGGGTTGCTATTTTTGCAGGGGATATTGAGTTATCGCATGTTTCTTGGTGTTTCCATGGCAAACATGTAGTTGGTACGCTTTGCTCCAGGTGTTCTCCTGGAGATCCTTTAAGAGGGAAAAAAATGCCTTCTTACGACACTTATTTCTTTTGTGCAATTATGTATGTAAAAAGTGACACCCACTTTTAACCCTGCTTCTCTGTACACTCTAAAGTGATGAAATATATATCATTCAGAAGAGTGTAGCCAAGACTATGGGTATCCCGCGAATTATACCAAGAAATTGTGTCAGTTGGTACCCACATGAAGTGCCCCGTTAAAGGGACCAGGGAGCTGGAGGACACTCCAGGGGGCCTCTACGGCAAGGAAACACCCGCCACTCACACACACATTAAACACGCTCCCTCGAACCTATTGTGGGTGTAACGCCCAAGGGAAATACTTAATATCTAGGAAACTGGTATGGCTTTTATCGCGTTTAAATGCCCCCGCGTTGCTTCCCAACGGAAGAGCAAGACGTTTTCCCGTGACAAATAATTACTAGTGAGAGCACGTGCCGCAGCTGCCCTCAGTGTCCTCGGGCAGGAGAAACATCTGCTGGAGGCGACACAAGAACTTCCAGCCCCCGGTTGCCACCCATAGCTCACATTTTCCTCATTACAGTACGGATAACGGTTTAAATGATATAGCCTCCATTCATTAATATTACTGAAACGGCGTAATTTTCCTCTATGATCAGTATATAGTGATCATATGGTCATGATCTAGGGATAAAATGTTTTTGTAGATGATTGCAGAGGTGTGTAGAAGGAGGGGGTTGGGGGGGCTGGACGACGTAATTATATATATAGGGTAATACGCAGCTTGCGTTACGATGGGTTTGGGATCCGGTTTGTACCTCAATACCCACGCCTCGGCGCCCCGCCTTCCCTACCCAACCTCCATTATCAACATACCCGCGTTGAAACACTCCGCTCTCCCATGAGTGGAGTGTTTCAACGCCATGACCATGCACTACGCTAGTTATATGGTGGCTTGCCTTCCTGACTCCACCACATTTACCTATTACACAGGCAACCTTAATACGGATAAAGGGGCTAAATTAACTATAAATCAAATGCCCCGTTAGATAAACTAACGGGGCATTAGATAAACTAACGGGGCATCCTACCTTAAACTATACTGTACTTGGGTTTAGGTTAGTTCATTTATTATGCACCCTATATTATACCCATCCTGTGGGTGGTAGTGGACCCCATATCATACATCCTGTGGGTGGTAGTGGACCCCATATCATACATCCTGTGAGTGGTAGTGGACCCCATATCATACATCCTGTGAGTGGTAGTGGACCCCATATTATACATCCTGTGAGTGGTAGTGGACCCCATACCTATGACTAAATTATAATAAGAAAATGGGAAATATGTAGCAGCCTTAAGGGGGGACAAGAGAGAACATGTGATCCCTTTTAAGCGTTCAAGTGTTGTGATGTTGAGAGGGCGACGACCTGTAGGCCTCCGTGGCCTCAACATTCCCCCTCACCCTCCTCACAAGGCACCGCCTCACCCCCCCCCCTTGCCCTCACAAGGCACCGCCCCCCCCCCCCCCGCCCACCTCACAAGTCATAACGCCCCCAACCCCCCACTGTGAGGCGTTAAACGTGAGCGAACCTGAGGAATGTGAAGAGTGAGGAAGATGAAGGTGAGTGATCCTGAGGAATGTGAGGACTGAGGAGGTAAAAGTGAGGGAACCTGAGGAATGTGAGGAGTGAGGGAGTAGATAATAGAGCTATACAAATCAAGAGCTTTCCTTTAACGACGTGGTTACCAGCCAGGGTAAACAAAGTCACGTGGAGCCACACAGGGTCTCTGTACACGGAAGATGGGACCAGCCAGGGTAAACAAAGCCACGTGGAGCCACACGGGGTCTCTGTACACGGGAGACGGGACCAGCCAGGGTAAACAAAGTCACGTGGAGCCACACGGGGTCTCTGTACACGGGAGACGGGACCAGTCAGGGTAAACAAAGCCACGTGGAGCCACACGGGGTCTCTGTACACGGGAGACGGGACCAGCCAGGGTAAACAAAGCCACGTGGAGCCACACGGGGTCTCTGTACACGGAAGATGAGACCAGCAAGACTGAGGCATCAGTCAACCTATGAGTTAACACAGTTTGAAACATCAGTAGAGCAGAAATCACCCCGCGGACCAATTAATGAGGACACGGAGGTTACAAGTATGCCTAGGAATGAGGGGTATGCGAGCTTGAGGAATGTGAAGAGCGAGGGAGCATGAAGAACGGGTTAAGAAATGTATATCGTAGCGAAGGGGGCTACATGTAGCGAAGGGGGCTACATGTAGCGAGGGGGTCTACGTAGCGAGGGGGGCTACGTAGCGAGGGGCTAAACGGCCGTCTTTGTGATGGTTGCGGCCGTTGACTGGGCAGCTGGAGCTGGTCAGGGGGTCGAGGGACTGACATAAGGGATAAGGGGGGAAGGGAGGAAGGAGAACAAGAGAGGGGGGGATAAGAAGGTAGAGACAGAGCAGAGTGGAGAATACGGGGACCAGGAGAGGGATAATGGTGGCATGGGATAGGAAGAATGATAAGGGAGGGGGAGGGAGAAGAGAGAAGACTGGAAATGGGAATTATATAACAGGTAGAGAAGACTATGGGAAGAGGTAGGGAAGAGAGCAGAAGGAAAAGAGGGCATTTAGGGAAGAGAGGGGCGGGGGACAAGAAGAGAAAGAGAGGAAAAAGGCAAGAAAGGAAATGAGCGACACGAAGGAGGAAGGGAGGCAGGAAGGGAAGGTAAATATCAAGAGAGAGAGAGAGAGAGAGAGAGAGAGAGAGAGAGAGAGAGAGAGAGAGAGAGAGAGAGAGAGAGAGAGAGAGAGAGAGAGAGAGAGAGAGAGAGATGAAGAATGAGAGTGAGAACAGATGATTACAAGTAATTACTGCGCCCCACAGGAGCGGTAGTTCAGGCAGAGCTCTACAAACATGAGAGATGACGGTTGGGCCCCACTGATAGGAGAGAGGGGGGTATTGTGGTGTGGGAAAGGAGGGGGGAATATATAAAATGAAGAGGAAGAGAATGGAGTAGAGAGAGCCCGCGAGGAGAGAGGAATCAACCTAAAACTAGTGAGTTGATGTGAGTCATAAGGGAAGGAGGAAGTATAAGGAGGAAGTATAAGGAGAAAGTATAAGGAGGATTGAAGATGGTGTTATATAAGGTAGGCGGGTGGGAAGAGGAGATAAAGAAGGTTCCCATCTTTACACAGCTAAGATGTGACCCCTCTCCACACAGCTAAGATGTGACCCCTCTCCACACAGCCACTCAACGACCCCCAGAGTCCGGCCACTCACCAACGACCCCCAGAGTCCGACCACTCACCAACGACCCCCAGAGTCCGGCCACTCACCAACGACCCCCAGAGTCCGGCCACTCACCAACGACCCCCAGAGTCCGGCCACTCACCAACGACCCCCAGAGTCCGGCCACTCACCAACGACCCCCAGAGTCCGGCCACTCACCAACGACCCCCAGAGTCCGGCCACTCACCAACGACCCCCAGAGTCCGGCCACTCACCAACGACCCCCAGAGTCCGGCCACTCACCAACGACCCCCAGAGTCCGGCCACTCACCAACGACCCCCAGAGTCCGGCCACTCACCAACGACCCCCAGAGTCCGGCCACTCACCAACGACCCCCAGAGTCCGGCCACTCACCAACGACCCCCAGAGTCCGGCCACTCACCAACGACCCCCAGAGTCCGGCCACTCTCCAACGACCCCCAGAGTCCGGCCACTCACCAACGACCCCCAGAGTCCGGCCACTCACCAACGACCCCCAGAGTCCGGCCACTCTCACCAACGACCCCCAGAGTCCGCCCACTCTCACCAACGACCCTCCAGAGTCCGGCCACTCTCACCAACGACCCCCAGAGTCCGGCCACTCACCAACGACCCCCCAGAGTCCGGCCACTCTCACCAACGACCCCCAGAGTCCGGCCACTCACCAACGACCCCCAGAGTCCGGCCACTCTCACCAACGACCCCCAGAGTCCGGCCACTCTCACCAACGACCCCCAGAGTCCGCCCACTCTCACCAACGACCCCCAGAGTCCGGCCACTCTCACCAACGACCCCCAGTCACCAACCACTCCCCATAATTACTGCCCGAAACAATTTAACAAATTAAAAAAGGGAGCGCCCAGAAGGCCGAGTTACGCCGCCCCACGAGGGCCTCAGAACAATGTAAGTGGGAATAGGTGAGCAATAATAACGAATTTGTTAATTAGGAAGAAGCCAAATTAACGATAAAGTGTAAAGAAAATACAAAGAATGGGGAAGATGCAGAGTTTAAACTACAGTTAACAGCAAACCACAACAGAACACTGGAACAGTGAGTGAAGGGTAGATCTAGAGAGGTATAGAATTCGTGACCAAATATCACATTCACTCCAAAAATATTTACCACTTACGGGGCTATTCATGCCCGTGCCACCTCTTGGGTGGCACGGGCATGAATAGCACGGATATCTTCATCAATCAACAATCGAGGGTGGAAGGAGACGGAGAATGACGAGGAGAAGGAAGCATGGAGGTAAAGGGGTGAGGTATATAAAGGAGACGTCTATGACTGCTAATTCTTACGGGCTATTCATGCCCGTGCCACCTTTTGGGTGGCTTAATCTTCATCAATCAATCAACGTCTATGACTGCTAATTCACTTCACGCAGCCGTAATAATGATAATATATTAAAATAACATACCCAGAAATATTTATTTACGTTTGTAGTGAGCTACTAACATAGATTTTGATTTGACCAGCCTACCGCCCGCCAGTGGGCGGCGGGGGAGGCCACTCCCGCCCGCACCCAGCCAGTGGGCGGTGGCCAGCATCCCATATGCTGCTGATGTGGCCCAGTGCATTTGTGCCTCTGGAGATTGTGTTAACCACTTGGACGGTAGAGCGATGGTCTTGTTGCTTGCAGGTCGGCGTTCAATCCTCGACCGTCCAAGTGGTTGGGCACCATTCCTCCCCCACCCACCCGTCCCGTCCCAAATCCTTACCCTTCCAAGTGTTATATAGTCGTAATGGCTTGGCGGTTTGTCCTGACAGTTTCCTTCCCTTGTGAAGCTTGTGTTGGTATTATAGTTACTCCCAGAACAATACATTAGCCGTCTCTGGCGGCAACCTTCAAAATAAGTTACATTAACATTTTAAAACAACTACAATCACCTCCTGTGGTTGATTTCTCAATAAATCACTGAACTATATGTCTAACAGATCTCTCACCCCATCAATGGAGGACAGAAGAAAATGTATATATATATATATATATATATATATATATATATATATATATATATATATATATATATATATATATATATATATATATATATATATATATATATGCGGAAAATCCACAGAGAAATATGAAATGAGGTGAACGTTTCGGCTTTGTTAAAGCCTTTGTCAACACCAGACTGACACCAGGGGAGGGAGGCGTATGGGGAAAAGATATATAGAGGGGGAGAGACGAGAGACCTTAACTACACCTTCACAAGAACAAAACAATACCCCTGACCACAAGCACTCAATGGTCCTGGGTCAACCAGAGGTCACCACAGGTCACCACAGGTCTGCCCACAGTCAACGAGGCGTGACACCTCCCCCTGCCCCAGTAACATGACCCCACCGGCGCCTTGTGAAAGACTCAGGACTTGAAATTGAAATTGAAATTGAAATTGAAATAAGTTTATTGAGGTAAAATACACACAAAGGGATGAGGTTGGGGTCGTGAAGTCATCTTCAAACCACAACAAATCGAAGCAGATACCGTTCTTGCCGCAAGGAATAAATAGCTAACATATATATACCTATATACACCCATGACGAGTGAAGGGATTGTGTTGTTTATCTGTGATAACCTATAGGCGCTTAGGGATTAAGATGGACAATAATGATTTCATCTTCAAACACAGAAGGGAAAAACTGGATTAGAATTAATCCATCAATTATCTGGTAATCCGCACCAGCCGCCTGTTTGAAGACTTCAAGTGAGCTGACATTTACTATTTTGGGGGATTTTCGTCTATATGGTGTGGTTAGGGGGGGGAGGGTATAGTGCTGGGGATAGAGTATAGTTTAGGGGAGTGTTTGGTTGACAGGGGAGGGTGTGGTCAGCAGGGGAAGGGTATGGTCAGCAGGGGAGGGGTATAGTTTTTGTGGAGGAGAATTAGAGCTACAGAACAGTGCATTGTAAGGCTCGGGGTCGGGGGGGAGGGGTTATGACCAATTTAGTGGGCCGGTAGTTATGAAGTGTAAGTTGTAGTGATACTGTTGTGTTTGTTGATGGGGGAATGGGGTCCAAGAGTTGTGGGGGTGAGCAGTGCCCCCTAAACAACCCATTTTCTTTCCTCTGGTTTACACTTGAAAACTGGACCAGTTTGGAAGACAATAACAATAAATACCTTCCCTTACCTTGCGGTTACCTTTGGGGTTACCTTGCGGTGATTCCGGGGCTCAAGGTCCCGCGGCCCATTCTCTGACCAGGCCTCCTGGTTGATGAACTGGTGAACCAGCCAGCAGAAGCCTGACATATGAATCACAGCCTGGTTGACCAGGTATCCTTAGATTTTGCCCCGAGGGGTGAGTTTATTGGGCAGCGGCACTTATCCTGTGAGTGGACATACCGCCATAGTGACATGTACAACACTCCCCAATAGGAAGAAAACCCGCTGGGTTGAGATTAATGGTATTGACAATAACGTTGTTATTAGTGATAATGATAATAACAGCAGGAGTGGTTGTTAGTGAACGTAACAACGGAACTGGGGGGGGGGGGTTAGGGGCAGCAATGGTAACGTAGCTAATGTTAATAATACCAATATTGTAGGTAACGGTTTTCACGTGATAAAGTTGCAACGATTGCAAACTATCGAATGTTGCAGAGACTGGTCGTGCTTGTTGAGAAGAGTTGATGAACACACACAAAAACAGCAACAAAATTTGATAGGAATGATGCCATGGCAAACCACTGTTGGGATTTCGATCCTATGATGAATTTTAGAAGGATTATACAATCCTAGGAATTAGACACTAGGATTGTAGAATGGTGTATAACAGCTCCAATACAAAAGGGAGACGCCTACCAGAAGCTGTAATTATAGAATCTATCGTGAATCCTGAACCGAGAAGTGTGTGAGTTATAAAAGATCTTTTGGAACTAAACCTCCTATTACAATAGACACCACAACATCTGACCATAACCAAACCCTACATCCAGGCCACCACAACCACCATTACACCCCCACCCATGCACCCCCACAACCAACCCCCCCCCCCCACCCACCACCACCACCACCATCCCCCCCTCTCCCATCCTTCACTACACAGAAACTCACTCAGGAGAGAGGCAACAAATCCTGACTGCTCGGCTGACCAGCTCAAATTGGCTCTACTATCAGGAGTCTGCAGTCACGGATTATGTGTTTTGAGGCATAAGGTCGGTGGGAGGGGGTGTAATAGGTTGGAAGACAGGGGGAGGAGGGGGATACGGGTGTAGAATGGGGGGTTTGTGGTGAAGGAGAGAGAGAGAGAGAGAGAGAGAGAGAGAGAGAGAGAGACACACACACACACACACACACCGAGACAGACAGACAGACAGACAGACAGACAGACAGACAGACAGACAGACAGACAGACAGACAGACAGACAGAAAAGAACAAACAGACACTCGTCCGCTACACCACAGCAAAATCATATAGTCCTCCCACAAAACCTTCCCTTAAACATTTCGTTTTCTGTAACACCAAAGTCTTCCCAACCCAAAGGAGTAGGGGGTAACTCCACAAATCCCCCGAGTGCATGGAAGCTCCGGACCAATAAGGCGCAGAGGACGCCAAGCACGACAAGAAAATGCACGCACCAACCCTGCACGAAAAAGATATATTAGTGCCTCATAAAAAGTGAGTGGAAAGGCGCTAATCTGGAGAGTTCAGCTGGTCACAAAGGTTCCATTTTCCTCGGCTCAATTCTCCCGCCACTTGATGGCTGCCGCCATCAAGCTGCTCTGCTGGGAGATTTAAACCAAATTTAATAACAATAATAATAATAATAATAATAATAGGAATAATAATAATAATAATAATAATAATAATAATAATAATAATAATAATAATAATAATAATAATAATAATCCACAGGAGCCGTGATGAGGGTGAGGATATGACATTAGGAAGTTTGAAGACTTTCACAACCTAAATGGATTAAGAGATCACGTTCAGACACGCTAAGAAATGGCGGAGGCAGTACTCCATTCTCAGCTTTATATGAAGACATGGCAGAGCTTAATAGCCTCTTGAACCCCCCATACCCCGTGGTTGATTAAGGATTGGGAGGCGGGACCCAAGAGCCGTAGATCATTCAACGGAATCACAGCCAGGTGAGTGCAACTAAGTTAGCAGATACACATCATCTAGGAGGCCTCGCGGGTGAGTGGACAGCTCTCCGGGGTCGTAGTCTAAGGGCCCTGGGTTCGAGCCCCAGCAGAGGCACAAACAAATGTTCAGAGTTTCTTTCACCCTGGTGCCCATGTTCACCTAGCAGTAAACAGGTACCTGGGAATTACGGGCTGCTTCCTGGGGATGTGTGTGTGTGTGTGCGCGTGTGTGTATTCACCTAGTTGTATTCATCTAGTTGTACTTGCGGGGGTTGAGCTCTGCTCTTTCGGCCCGCCTCTCAACTGTCAATCAACTGTTTCTAACTACTACTATTTTTTTTCACATCACACACACACACACACCCCAGGAAGCAGCCCGTGACAGCTGACTAACTCCCAGGTACCTATTTGTTGCTACGTAACAGGGGCATAGGGTGAAAGAAACTCTGCCCAATGTTTCTCGCTGGCGCCCGGGATCAAACCCAGGACCAAAGGATCACAAGTCCAGCGTGCTGTCCGCTCGGCCGGCCCCCACATGTATCCGTGTGTGTGTGTGTGCGTGTGTGTGTGTGCTAGAGAAAAAAATATGTGTAGTAGATATAATAGATGAAAAATAAATTGGTTAGAAAGGCGGAGTCCAAGAGCTAATAGCTCGATTTTGCAGATACAAACAAATAATAAATACACATGCAGATACAAATACATACACACATATACATTTCCCATACACATACACATACACAAGTGCACACACACTGAAGAGTTCAATGGACAAAGAACAAAATAAAATCCCCACATGCGTATTAGAACAAAAACAAATACATTCGAATGAAGAAAACGACACAGAATCAGTACACGAATGACATAGCAACCAAAGCCAAGGATCAACCTAAACTCCATAGCTACACCAGAAGAAAGATATCTGTGACTAACTAGATCACGCTAAATTCAACACACGGACAAGTGGAGAGTGACAATCGTAAAGTGAGCTTTCAGTAAGCTTTCAAACAAAAACTTACAGTAAGTTAGAGACTAAAATTCGTAAGAAATTGTGCTAAATTTGTGTCTTCAAAGCGTTGGATTGTGTTGTTGTGTTACACTCAGATCCTTCGAGAAACCCCACATGAACTACAAGGATAAGAACATTATAACTATGTCAACAAGAGCATTAGCAGACAATGCTGCTCCTGCCGCTGCTGCTGCCGCTGCCGCCGCTGCTGCTATCGCCGCTGCTGCTATCGCCGCTGCTGCTAACGCCGCTACTGCTATCGCCGCTGCTGCTATCGCTGCTGCTGCTATCGCCGCTGCTGCTGCTGCTGCCGCCGCTGCTGCTGCCGTATTTGCAGTTCCAACTGCTGCTGCTGCTTTTACTGAAGAGAGCGAGAGGGAGGGTGCCAGTGCCGCCTCTGTGGTGGCACTCAGGGACCCGTGACCCTCAATGAGGCCCGGGGATGAAGGGCCATTGGAACCCATCAAGAGCCTTCCTGTCAGCCCAGGTAATCACCAGGCCAGGCAATGCGCTTGACCTGGCAGGGGGGGGGGGGAGTATGGTGACCTGGCAGGGGGGGGGGGAGTATGGTGACCTGGCAGGGGGGGGGAGCATGGTGACCTGGCAGGGGGGGGGGAGTATGGTGACCTGGCAGGGGGGGGGTGGTAGCGACATTATGGGAGGGGGTGGGGGGAATATTAAGGGATGGGGGGAGGGGGGTGGTGCGGGGCATATACATATTCAGAAAGGTTTTGCGGAAACGTTTTGGCAACGGTGTAGTAGACAAGTGGTGAGGTTTGCTAGCAGACATATTTACTCGCAGGTAAACAGAGGCATCAGGTGTAGACACAGAGGTGTGTAGACGTAAACACACCCTGCCCTGGCACCCAATCTGGGGTGTAATCACTTGTGAGCCGCCGGCGCTAACTACTGGCTCACGTAATACACTAAAGTGGCAATTACAGACCTGGGCCAGAATTCATCAAGAACTTACGCACCCGCTTACGAAGCCTGTACATCATTTTGTAATCATCGCGGCTTGAGTTTATTTATTAAACAGTTCTGTATATGATCTCCGAAGCGCCACGAGGCTATTTATAACAATAACAACCTGTGTTGTGAAGCTTCGGAGGTCATAAGCTCTCTAATAAATGTAAACAAAGCCGCCATGGTCGAAGAAAGATGCACAGGCTTCGTCAGTGGTTGTATTAAAGCCTGGTGAAGCCTGGCGCAAGAGGACGCACCAAAACAACTGTAGAACTTGTTCTACTTCCCCACACTAACCAACCTAACTACCGAAATTGATTTCATTTGCCTCCAGCGTCGCGGAGAACATGCACCCGCCTAGCCAGAGGAGAAGGCTAGCGGTCAGGTCACCTATCCAGCCACTAGCCTCACTCAACACTGCTTAACATGACTTAACATAAAACAAAGTAACACGACCAATACCCAGGAGCCAACAAAAAAAGCGAAATAAAACACCAACTCACCATTAAAACACACACAAGCGCCGTTATTTAACACGAAAACACCATTATGAAACAGTGACAACAATAGTCCCGTTGCTCAAGCCTGCCTGGAAGGTTGTTATTGTAGCGGTTCCCTTCACAGAGAACGTTACTGAAGGAGTTTACGAAGCCAGAACGAGTCTAGCAGAAGTGAGAATAACGTTCTGACGTCACCTGTAGGCTCGCAATACGCTCGTCTACTGCCACTGACGTCACCTCCAGGCTCGCAATACGCCCGTCTACCTACTGACGTCACCTCCAGGCTCGCAATACGCCCGTCTACCTACTGACGTCACCTCCAGGCTCGCAATACGCCCGTCTACCTACTGACGTCACCTCCAGGTTCGCAATACGCCCGTCAACTATCACTGACGTCACCTCCAGGCTCGCAATACGCCCGTCAACTATCACTGACGTCACCTCCAGGCTCGCAATACGCCCGTCAACTACCACTGACGTCACCTCCAGGCTCGCAATACGCCCGTCTACCTACTGACGTCACCTCCAGGCTCGCAATACGCCCGTCTACTGCCACTGACCTCACCTCCAGGCTCGCAATACGCCCGTCAACTACCACTGACGTCACCTCCAGGCTCGCAATACGCCCGTCTACCTACTGACGTCACCTCCAGGCTCGCAATACGCCCGTCAACTATCACTGACGTCACCTCCAGGCTCGCAATACGCCCGTCAACTATCACTGACGTCACCTCCAGGCTCGCAATACGCCCGTCAACTACCACTGACGTCACCTCCAGGCTCGCAATACGCCCGTCAACTACCACTGACGTCACCTCCAGGCTCGCAATACGCCCGTCTACCTACTGACGTCACCTCCAGGCTCGCAATACGCCCGTCAACTATCACTGACGTCACCTCCAGGCTCGCAATACGCCCGTCAACTATCACTGACGTCACCTCCAGGCTCGCAATACGCCCGTCAACTACCACTGACGTCACCTCCAGGCTCGCAATACGCCCGTCTACCTACTGACGTCACCTCCAGGCTCGCAATACGCCCGTCTTTAATCTGCTCGACGAGCATTCATAACAGATGACCGTTGCTATGGCAACACCTGACGCCACCACCCGTTTTTGCAACATTTTTGACTATTGATTTTAATATTATAAAGCCTCATTGTGCGGTGACGACGATGAAACCATTGGGCAGCGCAGGGGCCAGATTCACGAAGCAGTTACGCAAGTACTTACAGAGGTGTACACCTTTCCTCAATCTTTGACGGATTTGGTTACATTTTTTTAAACAGTTTACAAGCATGAAAACTTCCCAATCAACTGTTGTTATTGTTGTAAACAGCCTCCTGGTGCTTCGGTGCTCATTAACTGTTTAATAATTGTAAACAAAGCCGCCAGAGATTGAGATGAACAGGATTGTAAGTGCTTGCGTAACTGCTTCGTGAATCTGGCCACTTCGTAGCCTGAGGTTGATTGGCTTTTAGTTCAAATCACCGAATCCCAAAACAAAAGCAAAAAACTGTGTCCACGTGATGGGCAAACAACGTTTGATTCAACGTTGAATCAAACGTCGATAAAGTTGATTCAACGTTGAATCAAACGTCGATAAAGTTGATTCAACGTTGAATCAAACGTCGATAAAGTTGATTCAACGTTGAATCAAACGTCGATAAAGTTGATTCAACGTTGAATCAAACGTCGATAAAGTTGATTCAACGTTGAATCAAACGTCGATAAAGTTGATTCAACGTTGAATCAAACGTCGATAAAGTTGATTCAACGTTGAATCAAACGTCGATAAAGTTGATTCAACGTTGAATCAAACGTCGATAAAGTTGATTCAACGTTGAATCAAACGTCGATAAAGTTGATTCAACGTTGAATCAAACGTCGATAAAGTTGATTCAACGTTGAATCAAACGTCGATAAAGTTGATTCAACGTTGAATCAAACGTCGATAAAGTTGATTCAACGTTGAATCAAACGTCGATAAAGTTGATTCAACGTTGAATCAAACGTCGATAAAGTTGATTCAACGTTAAATCAAACGTCGATAAAGTTGATTCAACGTTGAATCAAACGTCGATAAAGTTGATTCAACGTCACTGATGCATGTGATACCTTTCTTAAGAGACCCGAGGCGTCGAGTCCTGCCGGGCAGCGAGAAGAAATTCATTCCATATAATTATCAATCTATCTATCTATCCATATAACTCTATCCATCTATCAGTCTATTTATACCTCTACTATCCATGCATCCATCTATTTATACCTCTACTATCCATGCATCCATCTATCTAACCACCTACTCATCTTTCTATCCATCTGTTTATCCATCTATCCATGCACCTAGTCATCTGTCTATCCACATAATTATCTATCTACCCATCAATCTAACTATCCATCCAGTCCCAACCGCGTGGCATCCAAATTCGAACAGGTAAACAAACAGAAAACAGAGAGACATTCCCTCATATACGATAGATATATTATAAATATATTCATATTTATAAATTTATATATATTGTGTGTGTATGTTAGAATTAAGTCCATTTATAAGAGGCCCAGCATCGTAATAGCGTTGTGGTTCGAACAAAATTCGTCAGTGAAGGACGTGTTCCGGAAGTGTTCGAACGAAATCAGTTGTGAGTCGTGTTTAAACCGTTTTTCATTCATAAATAGGGGGTTTGGCGGGAACATGGAATCACTTTTGGGTGTTTGGAGGATGGGCTGCACTTTTGGGTCTGTTTGGAGGAGGGGCTGCAATTTTGGGCCTTTGTTTGGAGGACGGGCTGCACTTTTGGGTCTTTTTTGGAGGAGAGGGTGCACATTTGGGTCTTTGTTTGGAGGAGGGGCTGCACATTTGGGTCTTTGTTTGGAGGAGGGGGTGCACATTTGTGTCTTTGTTTGGAGGAGGGGCTGCACTTTTGGGTCTTTGTTTGGAGGAGGGGCTGCACATTTGGGTCTTTGTTTGGAGGAGGGGGTGCACATTTGTGTCTTTGTTTGGAGGAGGGGCTGCACATTTGGGTCTTTGTTTGGAGGACGGGCTGCACATTTGGGTCTTTGTTTGGAGGACGGGCTGCACATTTGGGTCTTTGTTTGGAGGACGGGCTGCATCGTAGCATCTATGACTCGATGTTGTATCAAAGCCTCACCCATTGATGACGTCACTGGTCAGGTAGCCAAGCCATTCTTTTATCACTGTTAATCCTACATTATTTAATTTCCACTAAATTGACAAATTTAAATGGTTGAAAAGTTCACATTTTGGGTAGTTTAAAGATGCAACAGAATGTCATAAACGTGGGAGATGATATTATTACCTGGTTGAGCATCTCGCTGGTTCCTTGCTGTGATTGGCTGTCGTGGTAAATGTCAACAAAGAGTTTCTACCAATGGGATGCAAGCGCGGGAATGCTCCCTTCAGCACAACAACCCGCCTTTACAGGCTTCTGTTGGCCTGTTGATAGTGCATTGTCATACCAACAGATGGCGCCAGTTGTATTTTACGAGCTGCCTGTTGATAGTGCAATTTTATGTCAACAGATGGCATGAGATGTATCTTATGGGCGGCTGCTAAGCTAACCTATTGATAGGGCATTTTTCTGCAGATAGATGGCATCAGCTGTATTATTTATCTCTGAATTCCCGTTAAACATTGATGTACAAACCCAGTAGCTTATAAGGTTCAATACCCTGCTGGTATTAGGTATTTTTTATTAACACTCTTCAGCTTTGCATTTACTTTATTCATTCTTGTGGATATCATTATATTGAAACTTTTTACAATTTGTGCTTGAAAAAGACGTCTCCAAATCAATTTGGTGAGAATTTTCTGACAAATGTGCTTTAATACAAATTACAAAGCCATTTATCATGACTATTACCAATGCTTTATGCAATTTGGACGAGCTTAACGATGCTCTCCCCCTGGGACCCATTCCTCAACTGATAGTTGTA